CATAAAACGGGACTTGAATTGGTATGTTCATAATTCCAAAAATGCATACGTATGCATCTAGTTAATTGCTTCAAGGATATAGTGTGGCTCTTTTTGAGAAAAGTGACAGGATGTCACTTTTTCATAGAAAAGTGGCAGAATTCATATTATCCTTTATCAAACACTTCACATACATCAATAATTTAACGGATTCAAAGTTATTTTTTCATATGTATTGACATAATCTATTCTCTCTGAAATTCAATAATGTTAACATGTTTCCAAAAAAAATAACAAATGGTTACAGGGGTTCAAGACTGGGGAGAGAGGGGTTAAAGGGTCATAAGACTGGGAGGGCGTGTGACTTTTTTTTGAAAAAAGTGACATAATGTCACTTTTTCATAGAAAAGTGATAAAATGTCATTTTNGTCACTTTTTCATAGAAAAGTGATAAAATGTCATTTTTTAGTAGAAAAAGTGGCAGAATTCACATTATCTTTTTGTCAAACACCTTACATGCATAAAGAATTTAACGAATTCAAAGCTATTTTTTCAAACATGTTTCCAAACATAATAACAAAATCATAAAAAAGAAACTTTATAAATGTTAATTATTTACACTATAAGGTTTAAACTAAATCTAATCATGAAATCCAAATAAAAGTGAGATAGACGGCTGAAAATTGGGGAACTAATTGAAGAAGGAGTCAAAACATTAAAAAAAACCTGAAATTGGCAATCTCGATTTTTTCCAAAACTTTCAATAATGAAATAACCTTGATCTTCTTCTAGAACTTCGAATAATGAACAAATTTGTGGATGATTTCCTCTTTCTCCTTCTAATATTCCCTTTTTTCCAATTAGGAGGCTTGCTTACGTTCATGCAGGAATCTTCTCTGTTTAAGCGTATAAAATACGCCAAAGTTTCCTTAATTATCACTTAATCCAAGTTTATCATGATTTTTCAAAACTGTCCCAAAATATAGGGTATTTGTGTAAGAAGCCCTAATATATTGATATTTTGGGCTTTCTCTCTTGAGTTGGGACTTAGCCTATAACTAAAAAAGAAAAATTTGAGCCCAGAAGTTCAGGGTGGGCCTGTGCCTACCCTGGTCCTTACTGCCTACCCTAGTCTTTACTCGGCTCCGCCCTTGGATATGTTGACGTCCAATTGGCTAACTAACACTTTTTTCTTGGGTGATGGTCCTCGAGAAGTGAAGGTGATTTTTGACCATTTTTCAGCTTCAATCTCCACTACGATAACGATTTTGGTTTTGGTTTTTTCAACTTCGACCTTCATTTTTTAACTTAGACTATTTTTCATGGATGATGGTCCTTGAGGAATGAAGGTGATTACAACTTCGAGTAGTGAAGGTTTTGGTTTTGATTTCTAGGTGAAGGTTTTAAAATTTTCTTGGGAATCTGGGTAATGGATTTCTCGTGGTTAAGTTCTTAGTGAAAGTGACATTAGTGGTGGTGGGAAAGGGAGAGGTGGTAGCATTGGGCGGTGGTCGGCGTCTTGTAGATGGACGCGGCGATGATCGACGAGTGACGGAGCCGTCGTTGTGTTGGGTTTGGTTTTGGGTTGGGTTGGGTTGGGTTGGGGTGGGGTAGGGTAGGGTGGGAAAGATAACTTTTGATTTTAGTTTTCATTTTTTATTTTTTAATTTAGTTATTTTATTTTAATTGTTTTATTATATAAAATATAAATTTACTATGTTAACATTATAAAATTGGTCAAAATTCGGTCAATTCTTTAACTTTTGGTCAACTAACGGTCAAATGGATGGTTTCCATCAAGTTGGACCTCAGCTGCATATTTATGAAAGGTTAGGGACCTTTGCCGGCACAAACTGAAGGTTTGGATAAATTCTGTGAAAATTGAAAAGACTAGGGACCCCTGCTGCAATTTTCCCTATTTTGAACTAAGGGCCTGTTTGAAAAGCCAAATTTTCCATGGAAAATGGAAAAAGAATTCCACTTTCTTGGTTTTGGTTTGTTTGATGGTCAAAATTTTCTAAGCCAATTATTTTCTTGCCTCCTGCTCCACGCTCCTAAGTTCCTTGTTTTTTGTGAATACATTTTCCCACCTTTTTAGGAGGGAAAATGGAATTCCATCTTTGCTTTTTTTTTTTTTTTTCAATTTGAACAAATTTTATAATCAATTGTAAAAAAAAAATCATTTTAATGGACAATTTTCATGTAAAACAAAGTCAAATGTGCACTAAATTTTGATTTAAAAAAATGATTTTTTAGAAAAAAATTATTTTTTCGTTTTTTTTTTTTTACTTTTTGACAATGGAAATAAATTTTATAACTAATTATGGAAAAAATTATTACTGTAATGGATAATTTTCATATAAAACAAAGTCAAACGAACATAAAATTTTAAAATTTTTCGGGTGAAAAATTATACAAATCAAACACACTTAATTATTAATTCCCTGCAAAACAATTTTTAGACAATTACTTTCCCTGTAATTCATTTCTTTCCACCCATTTTCCACCCTTGCAATCAAGCGCACCCTAATATCATAGTACGTATTCTTTTTGGTCATTTGATATATATTTTATTGTACTTATAAATAACTTTTTTACTAAATTAGATACTATATATACGTATGTTTTAATTCAAAAAAATATATGGTCCTTGTAAACAAAATAAGTAAATAATGTAAACTTTGTCAAATGAACTATATATAAATAATATGTTAATTTATATTTCTATAGTTTTCTTTGTGTAAATGAAGTACAACCAATTGTAAATTTTATCTTTAATTTACAAGAGCATTTTAGGTACACCAGCCTCATTTTAGATGCGATATAACTCAAAAATGGTCGGAGGTGAATATGATACTCAAAACTAGAATTAAGAAAGGTTGTGCAATTTTTAAACGTAAGAAATATCTTTAATATTATCATAAAACTCATGGACGTTTCTCATGTTGTCTCTGCAAAGTTTACATATAAACATAGTGTTCTTAATATATTTCTTTTAGAGTACCATATATTAGAAACTTATGCTTATACTCGAGATCTAATTGATTGCAAAACCCAAGGAACGTTTTCAATCGAAGATTAAAAATCAAGACAAAATTCAAAAAGAATTAGGCGAAGTCTTTTTCGTAAGCTACACAAGTACTTCACTTGCTTACTAAAAATACTCTAGCTAATTTCATTTAAATTTCATTTCGAATATGCGCCATCTGTTGCAATAAAAATGGAATTTTCAACTTCAAAACCTAATATATGAGTGAAGAAATATTAAAAACTTAGAAAAATCCCAAAAATGCCCCGCTTAAATAGATTGAATGAAAAAATTAAGGGGCAAGATGGTCTTTTCCTCAGTCTAATTGATTTGGAAAAAACAATGAATAATGGCTGCAACAGTTGCGTCCACATGATAGTATAATGGCTGAATTTCTTATTAAAATTTGTATACAATGGTGCCCCAACAGGCGCTTAATATCCTGTTTTTTCTTTCATTGTTTAGGGAGGTTTAATGTATTTGACAGTTTTAAATGTTTCAGCATTAGGGCATATTCATACACAGTGCAGTAAGATTGGGTCGAGCATAGTGAACATACCGAATATGTAAAAGATTGTACAATAGATTTTTACATAATGAACTCGCACGTCAAATCAGTTCCCTAGAAAATGCTAGTTTGAAAATAAGGCGACCTATGTACAGAATATTACTCAATACATCTCCCATAATATAACAACATACAGTATAATTAAGCTCTACAACATCTCAAACGTGTAACAAATAATGCGTGCAAGCGTCGACATTGAATTATTACAATTTGTTTGTTTCTTCTTAGCTGTCATATCCCCTCCCCAAATTTTTTCCCCACCCATCCTCTTTGTAATCGAGAGTACAAATTCTATTCACATAAATGGTTAAAGGAACAAATATGAACTGTGAACTGGTTGGAAATAAGACCAGCTGGAAATCAAAATTGTCTGATGAAGAAAATGATGAATTCATTCAGAAATTGAGGAAAAGTGAAGAAAGTACCTAAAGAACTTGAGGAGTTTCTTCAAGAATAGCAATGAACATAATGTCACTTGCTATTTTTATCTAAAATGGATACTTTCTAATTAATATTCCAAAAAAAAAAGCTTATAGCTTATAATCTCATCACCTTCCTATGTCGCGACCCTTCTTACTAATTAATGCCGTGTCACATTCTATCCCAACTACTATGTGAAAGTCTCAAGCTGTTACTTGGTAGTTCAAGCAGTGTAGTGGGCCGGGGACGCTGAAGAACATGACATGAAGCAGGAAAATGTCATATTTTACCTGGGTGTAATAAAATATTTGATGTGGAAAGATGACTACTGAACAAACTTTAAAAAGTTATTATCTTTCACTTTGTCTGTTATTAGAAAATTTTGCTAAAGAACAACAGAGTCATATCTACAAGAAAAATATCATTAGAAAGACAAATCTCATTAAAATCCCACCAATTACCCTAACCATTGTCCATCTGCAACAATCATCTAAACTATGCTTCCAATTAAAATGGAAGAAAAAGCTCAAGTTGCAGTGATAATGGTGCCATTTCCTGCACAAGGCCACCTCAATCAGCTTCTGCAACTCTCATGCTTGATATCCTCATATGGGATTCGAGTCCACTATGTTGGCTCCACCAATCACAACCGCCAAGCCAAACTCCGCATCAATGGATTAAACCCACTAGATGTAGCGAAAATTTATTTTCATGATCTTCCTACACCAGCCTTTGTCTCTCCTCCCCCAAATCCCAACTCGTCGATTAAATTCCCTGCACACCTCCAGCCATCATGGACTGCCTCACTCAACCTGCGCCAACCGGTTGCTGAGTACTTAAGAGATATATCCTCTACGATGAGAAAAATGTACACCTCCAGCCATCATGGACTGCCGCACTCAACCTGCGCCAACCGGTTGCTGAGTACTTAGGAGATATATCCTCTACGAAGAGAAAAATTATCGTCATTCACGACCCACTTATGGCCCCTGTAGTTCAGGATGTTGCTACAGTTCCAAATGCAGAATCCTATGTATTCAACTGTACCTCAACGTTCACGCAGGCCACTTATGTATGGGAAAAGATTGGTAAACCGTTTCCGATAAAACTACAAAAAGAGTTGCCCTCTTGGGAAGGATGTATGACAGATGAAGTCGAAGAATTTGTAGCTTTACGGTTTGATCATTTGGATATAAGAGCTGGAGATCTATACAATACCAGTAGAGTTATAGAAGGAACCTATGTCGATCTACTGGCAAGGGAAGAAATTGTTGGGAGCCGGAAGGCCTGGGCAGTGGGACCAATTCTTCCTTTCAAATTATACTCTAATAGCCAGCATCAATGTTTAGAGTGGCTTGACAAACAAGGTCATAAATCTGTTATCTACATATCTTTTGGGACAACAGTTTCAATGTCAGATGAAGAAATCAAAGAGTTAGCTATGGGGTTAGAACAGAGCAAACAGAATTTTCTTTGGGTATTGAGAGATGCAGATAAAGGAGATGTTTTCGAAGGAGATGTTAGACGAGCTGAGTTACCTGAAGGGTTCGAGGAGAGAACACACGGAGTGGGAATGGTGGTGAGAGATTGGGCACCACAACCAGATATTCTGGCTCATCCTTCAACTGGTGGATTCATGAGTCATTGTGGATGGAATTCGTGCATAGAAAGTATTACAATCGGAGTGCCAATAGCAGCTTGGCCAATGCACTCCGACCAGCCTAGAAACGCTCTGTTCGTAACAGAAATACTGAAAATCGGTTTTCTTGTAAGGGAATGGACACAACACAAGGAAATAGTGAAAGCATCAACAATTGAGAATGTTGTGAATAAACTAATGGCATCGCGCGAAGGCAATGGATTCAGAAAGAAGGCAGAGGAGATAGCTGCTGCTGTTAGGATGTCAACTGAGGCAGGTGGGGTGTCTCGAAATGAATTGGATTCATTCATTTCCCACATAACGAGATAGAGCAATTTTCACCATAACATTGTATCCCAGTATATTGCTGTAGGTTTTGATTTTTGAATTCCTTTTACATGATTTGAATGAAGCAATTTGTAGGCTATATATGTGAAAGTAATAAATAATGCTTGATCAGATCGATACTTCCAGTGAGATTAACATGAGAAAATGAATTAAATAGTAAGCATAAATGCTTGAAATGGCTATATGACAAGCTCTAAAATCTCTGATATATGTTTCTTTTGGAACCACAACTTAAACAGTAGATGAAGAAATGGGGCTAGAAAAAATCAAGAAAAGTTCATTCGGGTTCCGAGAGATTCCCCAAGAGCAGATATAATTGCTGGAGAGATTAGAAAAATTGTATTGCCAGAAGGGTTTGAAGAAAGAGTGGGCTATGTTGTGGATTAACTTAATACCGAGTTTCAAGAGTGATAATAAAAAGAAGCAATTACAAACAAGTGAAATAGACAAAGATTGATATTAGTTTCTCATGCCTCACCCATCAAAACGGCCCGAAGAGTCCTACACATATAAGAATATTAGTACTGATCAAATATTCATGTGTTGCATCTCATTGCTTTTGGAAGGTCAGTTTTATTCCCCCTTCCCTTCGTACCCGTGGACTTTGTTTTTATATATATGTTGGGGAATCAAAATCCCCATCAGCATTCTCTGGTAGCGCTTGAGAACCCACTAAAGTTATGTTGATGTTTTGCTAAAAAAATTGGAAATTCTTAATCCACAGACCACAAATCAACATATGGGAGTGCCACTAGCAACCTGGCCAATGCATGCAGACTAACCAATTGATCTCGTTCTATTGACAGAAATACTAAAATAGTTCCGGTTGTCAGGGAATGGAATCATGGGAGGAACCACTGGATTCATAGAAAATCGATAATACATGCTGTGAAAAGGTTGATGGCATCGGAAGAAGGGAAAGAGAGAATAAAAAGTAATACTATCATACCATGTTCGAGTTCCCACCCCTGAACTACCGTAAGATGCAACTTGGCATGCTACTCTATTCCCCTTGTGAGGAATGAGGCAACAAGAGCAACAGTTGACGTCATGAAAAAAAAAAAATATATATATCCAATAAAATATCTTCATTTGGAATCCAAAAGGCGAAATTTTGAAACTTACTATTTCAATTATTAAGCAGTCATAATCTTCTATTGAAAAAAAAAATGCACTATCTAATGCATTCAAATCATGCTTTCGACTAGTCCAATATGTTTATTCCGCATCGGCTGTCAGTTTCCTCCCAAATTATTGTCCACAAAGGCAGATGAAGCATACACCCGACTTCCCTCAAGAATTGAGGTGGAAAAAAAAAGGAAATTTCAAAAAGTTCAAAAAAGGAGAATTATCACTATAAAGACAGCTCTTTTTAAAGTTTCAATCATTCTCTTGAAATCATTATCAATGCCCATTTGCAAGCTTAAAATCATGGGAAAAAAACTCAAAATGCTGTAGTCATTGTTCCTTTTCCTGCTCTAAATCAGCTTTTGCAACTCTCCTGCTTAATATTCTCATATGGGGTTGATATTCACTATGTTAGCTTTGCCACCCACAATTATTGAATGTGTGGAGCCTGTTATATTGTACACTTTTTCGCTCGACAGCGGGATCCCCCAAGGCAAACTTTTTGAATTGTTATAAGGATACTTTGGAAAATTCGCACATATATAAGGTCATCCTAATATTTTCCTTCTATATAAGGGTATTAGAGTGAGCCTCAATTCTGTGTATCCTTGTACAGAGAAATAGAGAGACGTGAGTTCAAAACATATTGTAATCCTCTTCTTCAATATAATGCAATTTGGCAATGGCACCTAGTGCAGTAGCTCTCTCATTGAGGATGATGTTCGCTATATCATGAGTTATTATTACTTTCATTTCCTTATTTTGTGTTAATTTCTCTTGATAATACAGATTATTCCTATAATCACAACCGGTGTCAAAACTTTTAGTTCGGGTGAGAGCAATGGCAGGGCCGCAGGAGAAGACGGAGTTATACATGGAATTGGCAGGTTCAATGGAACAGATTTTGCACTTGAAGGATGCCAATTGAGGAATTATCTCAACGGGAAAAAGATGCATCAGCCTCTTATGGGAGAAAACCCAAAAATGACAATTTGATAGACTGGTGTTGAGTGTCATCCTATCGACACTGACTAAAAACGTTGTACATAACATGGCAAAGGAGAAAATCACAGCGGGATTGATGAAGGTTCTTTCTGACATTATGAAAAGTTATTCAATCTGAAGATGAAAGAAGGTGCTTGTGTGACAGAACATCTCAATGAATTCAATACAATAGTCAATGAATAATTCCATGAGCACGGGGAATTATTGACAGAAATGATATGGTGCATTTTCTGTGTTTGTTGGGTCAAAAATCAATGAAAAATTGCCAAATGTCTTTCTGTAAAAATTATTTCAACTTTTTTTGTACTTGTAGCAAAATAGATAGTCAGTTAGTTGTCATCTGTTGAAATCAATTTTGACGATGAAGTTCATGTCCTAATTCTGACCAAATAGTTGGAAGCCCTTGAGAGCTGCAATTAGTAATTCAACACGCAGTGCGAAATTGAAGTTCAACAATGTCAGGCACCCAATTCTTGCTGAAGAAGTTCGATCTCAAAACATTAAAGAACCTGGCATTGCCGCTAGCTGCAGTTGATCATGAGGAGGCCTGTGGTGTTGCTACTGCTACAGTGATTTGGATAATAACCTTTGGCATCAAATGAGCCTTTGTCTGCATATCTCATCTCAGATGCCTCCTCCTCAGCATAGCCACTCTATCTTAGGATCTTATAAATGGCCTGGTGTTATCAAAATCATCACTTGGCAAATTCGTCTTATAATGAATTTGTCGTGTGCATGCCTACAATTTTGAGTTTATATTTTGATAAGTGTATTTTCTACACTTATTCGGAGTTTGAAACTCTAGAATTTTGTTGCTTTTTTGGCAAAATACGACATAAATTATGTTATATTGCATCCTGTCGGTAAAACTCAATGTTTGATGAAGAATTGGAAAAAAGAAGCAAAGTATGGTGCAAAATGGTAAAATCCAAAATTCGAGAATCAAATTACAAATACTCAAGACGATACTTTGAAAATTGTTAGGAGACAACTGGATTTCGTACCCGTGGACTTTGTTTTTATTTATATGTTGGGGAATCAAAATCCCCATCAGCATTCTCTGGTAGCGCTTGAGAACCCACTAAAGTTATGTTGATGTTTTGCTAAAAAAATTGGAAATTCTTAATCCACAAATCAACATATGGGAGTGCCACTAGCAACCTGGCCAATGCATGCAGACTAACCAATTGATCTCGTTCTATTGACAGAAATACTAAAATAGGTCCGGTTGTCAGGGAATGGAATCATGGGAGGAACCACTGGATTCATAGAAAATCGATAATACATGCTGTGAAAAGGTTGATGGCATCAGAAGAAGGGAAAGAGAGAATAAAAAGTAATACTATCATACCATGTTCGAGTTCCCACCCCTGAACTACCGTAAGATGCAACTTGGCATGCTACTCTATTCCCCTTGTGAGGAATAAGGCAACAAGAGCCACAGTTGACGTCATGAAAAAAAAAAAAGAATATCCACTAAAATAGCTTCATTTGGAATCCAAAAGGCGAAATTTTGAAGAGTCATGCTACTGTGCCTGCGTGGGTGACCGCGGGGATGACCGCTCACACACACATGGGGGGGTCGGTATTATTTTATTCATGTGGGACCCCGCCTCGGTTGTGAGTGCGCGGTCATCCCCGCGGTCATCCACGCGGGTCGTTTAGCATTTTCCAATTTTGAAACTTACTATTTCAATTATTAAGCAGTCATAATCTTCTATTGAAAAAAAAATCTAATGCATTCAAATCATGCTTTCGACAAGTCCAATATGTTTATTCCGCATCGGCTATCAGTTTCCTCCCAAATTATTG